ATTTATTAATTAAACTATAGTCTTAATTTAAATTTAACTTAAACCATGTCTTTATGGAAATATTAACTCTTTTAATTAAACATTTTAATTAATTTATTGAAGTCCACAAAGTTTGAACTTTAACTTTTAAAATTCTAGCGTTTGGAATTAAAGTGTATATGGGGGTGACTTTACAAATTCCAAAACTTGAGGACAAGTTTTGAACAATTCAAAAAATTATGGTTTCATAACTTATGAGTTTTAAAGTGGTTTAATGGAAAAACACTTCAAGTTCCATAACTTGTAGACAAGTTACGGAAGACTTTAAAAGCATTTAAAAATGTGACTCTTCATTTTTTCATAACTTATGGAAATTTTATGAGTTATAAAATTCACAAATGTGACTTTTCAAGTAACTTGAGGACAAGTTACAAAAACACATATTATTACCAACTTCTAGATTAATTTGGATTGAAAACAACTATCTCAGAATTTTTTTTCTGTTAATGTAAACAAACTCATAAACATGAACATTCATAATCAACATTTTTCAAGCATCACATAGACATGTATAAAACTTGAAACTTTGATTATTATCATTTATTTGGATGTAAATAAAAATTACGATAGTATCAAAAAACAAATTTTATGAACAAAAACACTTTGTGATAACGATTCTAATCCAAAACAGGCCAAAAAAAACTCAAAGATATGCTGTCAGGGGGTCAAACTCGTCGAGTGCATGAACCAACTCGATGAGTTGGATGAATTTTGTTCATGGACTCGTCGAGTCCATCACTAAACTCGTCGAGTTTGCTGTCCAGACAACAACAAACTCGATTTATTTCAGTTTTTTTCAGCAACTTGCATCAAGTATAATTGAAAACAACCAATGGCACTGATACCACTGTTTGATTTTGGTATAATACAACATCCTATGGTGCAGATACAACCCTAAATACCTTGGATCTATGTTTTCACTAATTATACATGCAAATGGTTTCCAAGGTATTAATCTTACAACTAGCATGCATTTAACATAAAAAACATAATATACTAGTTAGCATGACATACCTTTTGATGGAGCTTGAAGTCTTGGTGTATTTGGCCTTAAAGAGATTAGCCCCAATAGTATGGAAGCCTCAACTGAAATCACAACACATTATGGACAAAGGTAGGACTTGAAAGAGAATTACATGCACCAAAAACCTCCATATTTCACTAAGAAAAGAAGTGTACACTTTTTGGTCATGAAGTAGCACATTCATATGTTGGATTCCAAGAGTCATGGGTATAAACCAAATCCATACCCATGGGTGTCACAATTCATGGTCCATGTGGGCCAACTCTTCATGTATCCATACATAAACTTGGTCCAACACGGATCATAAGCCCAACACATATAAATATAACTAATTACCATAATTAGTGCCGATAGATTTAATTAGTCTATTTTGACCACTAAATTAATTCCAAATTAATTCTTGATCAACACTAATTAAAACATATGATTTCATATTAATATATTATAATTTATAATATATTAATAAACCATAATTAGCCTTCTCTCAAAAGTCCATCCTAACAAATTGTCCTAATGATATGCAACCCAAATTGACCATGCTACTCTCGGGTCGAATACATACCAATAATAGTTATGGGCTTAGACACCTAATCCAAGACCCTTGTGTTAATATCATCAGATATGGACCTTGACAGGTCTAAAGAGTCCCTATTCTCTAGCGTTATGTAGTTCTATATGAGTTTTTGGCTTAGGTTATCATATTAAGGGTTATTTTGGCATATAGAGGTTATAGTGTGATGCATGGGCATAAAGTTCAAACCTTTATGTGATTATCATGCTTGGGAAGGTCAGGTCTATAGGTTAGAGATGCAGATCTGACCTCAGAAGGTGATTTGAGTGTGAACATGGAAGCAACTCGTCGAGTTCATAAGTGGACTTGACGAGTCGAGTCGGGGTTGCCCCGTGATTCGTGACAGGAGGAACCCGTCGAGTGGAAGGATGACTCGACCTGCCCTGATAGGCTAGAAGGATTTAGAGGACCCGCATTGACTCGTTGAGTCGCCCATGTGCACTCGATGAGTCTGGTCAAAGTTTGACTGTTGACTTGCGTTGAACTTAGGGTTTTGGTCAAGACTGAGTCAAGAGAATTCGGGGAAGCGTAGAATGGTCTTCTACCCAATCCTTAGGGATGAGACTATGAGAGAGTATTGATCGGGGATCTTATTTGAATAATAGGAGGATGCTAGGTCGGGATGTTGAGCACGAGAGTTTATCCAACTTCATTCGAGGGGAGTCTTCTCATTATACTGTACCTGGAAGGGTACCTATGTGTGACCGGAAGGTGTTATGTGCTATGAGATGTATGTGTTGTATGTTTATTATGTGATATGTTTGTTTTATGTATGTTTTGTATGTTGCTATGTGATATGTATGTGTTTTGAACTCACCAACTTGTATTCTTATATTGTTGACACTCTTTCAAAAACACTTGTATTCTTAGAGAATCAATAGACAGGTATCCACACAGGTTTTGGAGAAGACGGAGTAATATAGAGCCACGTCTTTTAGTTTTTGCTATACATTTTTTGTGTTAAGTATAAAATGATTTGAACACTAATGTAAAAACTATGCATTATCAATATGATATTTGTAACACCGTAAAATTTAAAACAAATTTTCTCATTTTAAAACACATTTTCCAAACACATTTATTAACAAAATCTCATTGTATCATATCTTTGTTTCACAAAATATTTCCTAAGATCAAAATACATAAATCCCATTCGTGTGTACGAATCATGTCGGCGCCTTCACGCGATCATCACTGGTACCTTAACACATAACACATAACACTGTAAGCATAAAGCTTAGTGAGTTCCCCAAAATACTATACATAACACATACTAGCCACTCGAGACTATAACTCTGTGGGCCCTTGGGCCCTAACTCTATGGACCCTCTGGTCCTAGCTATCTGAACCTTCCGGTTCTATCTCTCATATACTTTGATATACATATGGCGTAAATCACATAGAAATGATGCAGTGCAACACAACACATAAGTAGCATACAATAACTCTGTCACATAACTCTAATTTCTACTCAAGTTAAAGTATAGTGAGAAGACTCACCTCAGACGTCTCGGTAAATCTCTGACTCGGTAGAAATACGATCTAGCCTCCGCCTAATCACATAAAGTAATATTCTCATAAATATAACTCTCAGGACTAGACTCAACACTCTCTTGGCACCCTCAGAAGGGTAAAAGACAATTTTACCCCTTTTTTTGGCTAAAAGGCCCTCATTGTTGACCAAACCCTAAAAGTCAACCAAAGTCAACGGTCAAACTTTGTCCCGACTCGTCGAGTGCACTTGGGCAACTCAGCGAGTCTACATGTGTCCACTAACTCTCTAGTCTTGTTTGGCATGTTGAGTCCCTCCCTTTGCTCGAAGAATCACACCTGGCATGAATCGCGGGACTACCCCGACTCAACTCACCGAGTCTCAAGTTCAACTCGGCGAGTTCCGCCTTAAATTCCAGTCCTCTAATCCTTCTCTGACTCACTGAGTTACTCCCCCAACTCAGCGGGTCTACTCACTGAGTGATTTATGGGAAACCCTAACACTACTCGCCGAGTCTGCCCTTGGACTCGGCGATTTCATGCCATGCACTAACTCAATTGACCTCCTGAGGTCAGATGTGTTCCTTTGGTCCAGAGATCTGACCTTCCCAAGCCTGATATACATGTAAAGCTCGAATCTTGACACTCACGGGACGTCTAGAAGGTTTCACTTGGTGATTTAGCCCCAAAAATAACATCCTAAGCTCAACACCTCTATAGCTCAACATAAAGCAAGCTGAGATAAGTTCTTTAGACCACTATGGGTCCAGATCCGAAATCTCAAACTGAATAAGGGCCATGTTCTCACAATTTCTTCCATTAAAGGACATGAAAACTCTACATCTATAGATTCATTCAACATAACAGATCAAGGGGTGATATATTACCTCAAAGATGGTGTCTTTAGCTCGAAATCCACATATGCACCACCTCCTTGGTCTCCTCTAAGCGGGAAACACCTTCTTCTTGCAAGAATCAACCACAAAGATCAAGAAATGACTCCTTTCCTCTCATAATCGCTCTAGCTCTTTTAGGGTTTCTCTCTAGGGTTTGGTAGCCGTAAATGACGACCCTAAGGGCCTTTAAATAGGTCCAAACCCTAGAAATTAGGATTTCATTAAATAGTGTGGACTCGCCGAGTCCACTCATGGACTCGTTGAGTCCAGTCATGAACCCGAATGAGAATCTGCAACCCTACTCGGCGAGTCTAAGCACCAACTCGCCAAGTCCCTCCACAACTCCAAAATGAATGAATAAAATAATATACCAGGGAATCTGGATGTTACAATATTTGTTGTACTTTGATTACTATTATTCAATTGTTGCGATACTATACATGACGTCATTCACCCTCGAACGTTTCTGCCGTTCTGGTTTAGGGGTGTGACACATCAGATGAGGGTTATTGAGGAGGATGTGGATAAGACAATGTTTAGGACTTGTTATGGTCATTATAAGTTCATGGTTATGTCGTTTGGGCTCACCAATGTCCCTGCAACATTTTTGGACTTGATGAAATGGGTGTGCAGGTCGATGCATTCTAAAAGTGAAATCAAATATTAGCATATATTATGAGTTCATAAACATGTTAAAAAACAGTTAACGAGATGCATTGGTACGCTAACGAATCGATTCAAAAATGGCATACCGTTTACGTACGATCTTCCTTTTCGACATTCTTTATATGTACGAAATCTTGTTAACATGCTCTATCTGTTTAGAGTATTATTTGTTCATTACAACAGTTAATATATAAATCTTATTGTTAACGTACTAAATCTTTACTTATGTATTGTGATTAGTGTTTCGTTAACGATGGATATTCATCAGAGGCAAAAAGGGTGTTGCGTATGCTAATCTGAGTATGAAAACATTATTTGCATGAAGATGATGGAATACATTACATTGGGTCTATTACAAGGAGTGTTTACGGAATTACGGTGACCGAGACTAATGAACAATGATCTAATTTTGTCGTTTCTATAGTGATACTTTGCAATCATAATTTAGAAATGAAGATTACATCTATTAAAAGACACACTAATCTTTACTACTCAATTCCTAGGATTGGATTGAACAAGAGAGATATTACATGGGACTTTTTCAAATCTGGACGACCATGCCCGTCTCCATTAGAGTACATAAAATGTGCCATCCTAGCAAGGTTTGTAGCACAATTATTGAATTCCTGTGAAAATTGAGATTTTGCACCTGCTCGTGCTTTATTAAGTTTCTTCCATGTCTTGATGAGTAACAATTCGATATACCTTCTAGCCTCTTCTTCTGTAGCACCATTCTCATGCATATAACATTGAATTGATTTTGGATTATCTCCTCTTGCAATCTCATCCTTAAATAAAGACACAATAATTGTTTAAGCTTATTTATTTATGTATACCAATTAAAATTTTATATAAATAAAATACTAATAATGTTCTATGAATATCCCAAAATGAAAGTATCTATTTCGATTAACTAAAAAAGCAATAGCTACCGAGGATGTCGCCAAGTCATCAGCAAGCCGTACAATCAGGGATGAGTAGCGAACTATATTTTCAGTTCCTCCCATGCCTTGCATGATTTCTTCTGTGGCATTGATTGATGTCAAAAAACTAAGATGCATGAGTATTACTGAAGCGCCTATGGATACATAACCATTCTCCAAGTACTCTTCTAGTGTTGGTATATATCCACTATGGTACCACTGTGCTTCTAATAGGAATGAGTTGCATAAATCTGTCCACTACAATGTTACCATTCCAGAGTACAAAAAATAAGAATCGAAAACCACAATACTAATAACCATGAAGGAAATCCGATATTTGTTTAGTTCAAGAAGACGGATTAATTAATTACTGTTTTCTTTACGTAAGGAAGGATGAGGAATCCAGTTCGAGTCAATGCATTATATGACATCTGGTTTATCGAGTTGTAAAATCCCAGAAAACATATCTTCATATAATCTGGGAGTTCACCCACCAAATTGATATCCCATCTACGAATTAAAAACTTCTTTTAGACTATGTGCAATTTGTTCAAATACTATATACTAGATTATAAACTTGTAATTCCAATGGATGAAAGAGTAATAATGCACAATTACGTACCTGATGACAGCATCAGTAAATTTGTCAAGCTCATCCAAAGTTCCATACACATCATAGACATCGTCAATAGTTGTTAGTATGGCAAAAACTTTCAATAGCGTTTTCCTTTCAACAGTAAAGTGTGGTAGATAATTGACTCCAACCGTCCACAAGAAATTCTCCACCAATCTGTCTCGAGCAAAACTTAACTTCTTATCCCAACATATATTTCTCCACCACCTATTCATTTAAGAAATAATTATTACTTTGTAGAAGTTCACGTCCTAAAATAAAGTGTTTTATAGGGTATATATGTAACAAGTCGCAGTGAAAAAATTGACACGTATGAGGAGGAAAAGTTACCTCGATGAGTGTTTTAGATCTTCAAGGTGGATAGCTTGAACCATATTAAAATCCAATTTTGCCAGCTCCAGCAGGGTTGGATTCATGCCATTTCTTTTCTCATACTCCTCGATGTACCATATTGTCTCAACCCTGGGTACTCTCCAATGTAGTGGAAGCTCTAAAGCATGAGTTACTAATGATGATAAATTTTCATGAATGTTCTCTAAATTTTCTTTGAGATATCTGGATGTGAAGTCTCGAGCATCGTCCATAATGCTTTCATTCTCAAATGAATGATAAGAAGCCTCGTACAAGTTCAACATACACATCATATCCTCGTATAAGTGGGGCTTAAGATTTTGAGTCAGCTGGTCCTTGAAGTTGTCAAATATCTCTATTTATCGTAGAAAAATAAAAAAGAAATTAAGGGAAAGTATTACTTTGTGAGTCCTCGTCTATGAATCTTCAGATTTTTCAGATAGTGGACGTGGTAAAATTACCTTTAGGGACATGGTAACCATTTTGTCTCAATAATCTAAAACCAAGGGCTTTATGATTGAGACTCATTGAATTCCACTTGTCTTGAGCTTGATAGTAATTGTGATATATCATCTCCAGTAGAGAACATATTTCATCCGGAAAATGATAAGCTATTCCAAGTCTCTGTAAATCATCAATCAGTTCAAGGACGCTCAATGGATTTCGGACATTACAAATCAAGGCCTTCACTGCTTCTATCAGACTATCTCTTCTCGACGTGTAATCATTTCCCTATGAATGCAGCTTAAATTTTTTGAATAAATATCCAAATTGAAAGGATGTTAAAAGGGAAATGGTTAGATATAGTACGTACCTTATATTTGATAGAGAGTGACTGGATATGATCAAATGACCATAAAGATGGCTCATAGTTTGCTGATCGTCTAACAAGGGGTTGAGCCATTGTGTGGGGGCACTGAATTTGATTGTGATGAATATAATGTGTTGTAAATATTTAAAGCTTTCCTTTTGGCATATGATGTTTTGTAACATAGGGGAGTTGAAATGGAAAAGAAACACACTAAAGCCATTGAGAAAGACTTATCTCAAAGCCAAAGACCACAACAGCACAATTGTGTTGATTCACACTTTTTGCGATCATTGCAAGCTATTTATAAGCCAATTTTTCTTATAACTTTACATATGGTCCACAAAAGCGAAAGCTATATGAGTTTCGTTGTTTTCTTGGAGAATGATGATATCAAGTTATCAACTATTTGGTTAACTGAAAAAAAGCCATTATGTTTTACACCCAATTTTTATTTGGCCCTAAATTAAATTTTTAATAACATTTTTACCATTAAATTAGGAGATGCTTCTAAATATGTTTCATTAGCTGGTTACAAAACGGTTAAACCTAAAATCTTGATTTTAATTGAGGTTTTTACCATATCATAGTGATTATAATGTTTATTTATGGGAACATTGTAATTTAAAATTTATTTACTAAACGGTAGTAAAAGTTATGTGGATGCCAACTTTACATTAACAAATAAATAAACCACGTTGTTTTATTGAAATAAATGTAAAACAAGTGAACCCACACCATTGTTCTTCCCCGGTTCCCCCTCTCATCTTTCCCCGGTTTCTGATGCTCATCCTCTCTTCCTCTGATTTATGTTGCTTTTCCTTCTAGAAGGTTTCTATCTTTAACATTTATAGGCTTAAATTCAACAGATACAAGGCCAAATATATATGTGAACTCAATCACTTGGTTATGAGCATATCGGAACTAATAATGCGAGAAGAGATGATTATACATTATGACAATAGATCACAACAAGATACAAGATCCACAAACATTAAATCCAAATTAGTTTGTTGACTTTTGATTTGGGATATGATTAACTATGACAACCAAAAGTACCCAATTATATAACCAGATGAGCTCCTCTCACGGCATAAGAACAAATCACAACTACAACACACCAAACATATACCGCTAAAAATGATGCTTCATTCGAAATTTTATGTCAAACAGAACACTAAGTTGCTTCGACTTCAACTTCATTGCAAGCTCCAAATTTATCCTTTTAAGGAGAACATAGCACCAACCTCACCCAGTATAACTTGTTAGTTATTGTTATGATTGGCAGTTTGCAATCCCCTCTCTCTCTCTCTCTCTCTCTCTCTATATATATATATATATATATATATATATATATATATATATATATATATATATATATAACGTCCTGAAACGGATCTTACCAGTGATCAACCAAACAAAACAATCAATAATAATGAGAATGAAGTAGAAACAGAAATCTGAACAAGCTTGCACACGCTTCTATCAACGAAAAACGTCTGATACAACTCGTTTACAGCAACCGCGAACTCTATGGCATCAACAACCATTAAGTGACCTACAATACCTCTATATATAGTGACCTGGGCCGACTTGGGTTTACGGTCGTAAACAACTTACGGCCGTAAACTCATACTCTGGCCGTAAACAATAAACATAGCTACCAAAATTACTTACATACCCAAAAGAACCTATTACAATGAAAGCCTAGACCAAACAATTAATTAGACCCTTCAATCTCCCCTTGGTTTGGTGCTAGCTAGGAGTTAATCTTTGTCAATCACCATCGCATCTGCTTGCCCCATTCGACATGCATTTATTGATGATCTCAACAACCATAGACGTGTAGTCCTTCACGGCTTGCTCAAAAATCTCCTCAGCAACTTTAATTTGATGATGGCTCAGATGATGAATGTCCCATTTCCTGAACTGGAAAAATCCCTTAGATCATACAGACGGATGCATCCATCTTTAAGTTTGATAAAAGCAGACAATGTAGTCTCGTCGGATACCCAATAAAGCATGGAGCTTAGGGATCCATCTGGGTAACTTTGAAGCACAGGGATTTGTTTGACCTGATTGGTTGCAGGCCACATCACCACCTGAAGTGGATGACCAGTTTTGGGATCTATGACATCAGGATAATGCTTTATTACAGACTCAACAGTCTTCATCGAAGGAAAACCCTTTTTCACCTGATCTTCAAGAAAATGTTTCAATTGAGTTGCCTGTCGATTATCTGAGGGATTTGCAAAAGGAGATTGGGACTGCTCTGAAAGATCCACCCTGGTCCACGAATTAAAATCATGAGAATCTTTGTAGGACTTCGTGTTACCACTCTTTCTCCACACTATCCACATGTTTAGGGTATCATGAAATCCCCAATAAATGATCCCTGACCGATCACCATACATATCTCTAAAGCGCACAACCTCATGATCCATAACAGTGATTGCTGGTTGATTGCCTAGTGCATTTTTGTCAGAACTCCTCTTAAACAAGAGTTATCCTTTTTTAGCGGCTTTAGCTAGTCTATCACGAATATTTGCTGCAACATGTGGAGCATGAGCGAGCTCTTCTTCAAAACGATATACCACCCGTGAAGTTTAAACGATTGTCACGGCAACAGGATGAGCTTGAGTATATAAATTGATCCTGTACTCATCTGCAGATGTTTTATATTTGGCACCAAGATCTTCTTTAAGTTTCTTCTTTAAATCAAAATAACTAGAGGTCAGGAGATTAAAATGAGCTTGAAGCTTAGAGATTTCCTTTGTCTTTGTTGCCCAATCATCCTGAAGTTCAGAAACTTGAATTTTTAGATTTGCATTCTCGCTTAAAAGATCTTCGACTTGAATGTTGAGCTCTATATTCTTCTGGTCAAGCACATTCACTCTCTTCTGAAGCTCATGAACCACAGAGTCATCGTCTCCTGAATAACCTTGTCTAAAAGCAACTCCTTTAGCTTTATAGGAAGCTGCAACATTTTGTTCCTGGGCAAGATGCATAGCTAACACACAGAGGCATCATCAAGATCTGCCCTAGGAGTAAAGAATCCTGGTGGAGCAGAGGAGCCACCAGATTCAAATGTGAAGCTAGGACCTCCACAGAAAGGTTCTGTTGATACGATAGAAGGGTTAGTTGTTGGCATAATTGGCATGCCATGAGTCAAGTTAGAATCCAGAGGCCAAACCTATGATCACGTCTTCTTCTCTTAGATAGAGGTTGTAAGCTCTAGTTTGTTGTATAATCACCCTGAAGTGGTTCAATTGTAGGTGAGGCACCGTCAAGGGGAGGAATCCCTGACACTGTCACCATTGGAACTAAAAGAATCAACCACCTGATTTGTAGAAATGGGTGTTCAATCAAGAACGTGTTCAGAATCCCTTATCTCCGTTGCTGGGAGAGCAACATCACTAATATTATCAAGCAACGTGTTAAGGTTGACATTCGACAAAAAGTCATCATTGCTTCCAAAATTGGTTGGAATTTCATCTCTATCAAAACCTGTAAGGTCAAGGTCTCCATACTGATCAGTCTCAGTTGCATTCATGGAAGACCCTTTATTGTAGTCACTTTCAATTTGAACTGATCGCAGGTCATGCTCCTTAGCTACAGACAGATTAGGAGCAACTATCTCTTCCCCTTCCTGATCGGATACAATGATCACATCTCCTTCCGAAATAACCCTTTCTGATGAAGTAGGCTCTGAAGATAACTTATCAGAGGATCCATGGCACTCGGACTCCTCATTCGGCTCAGCAAATCGTCCGAATTTAACCGGTGGATATAGTCCTTGAAAGGTAACTTTTCCTTTGTGATTTTGTTTAATGAGCCCAATAGTGTGAGGGCCCAAGGACTTCATATCAAGTGTATCTCCCTCCTTTACCATGTCAGGAAATTGTTTGTTGATGAAGAGATGACTAAATCTAGGATACATCAAAAAGGTATCCCGTGTGATGGCATTGATGTTGACCACAAACTCGTCCAGGATAAACCTTGAAAAGTTGATGCCAATTCTTGCTGCAAGACAAACTATAGGTCCAATGTTTCTCAGGGATATTACATCTACACCAGACCTCCTGCCGAAGATGCAGCTCACGAACACATGGGCTAGGAATCTCCAGTAGGGTGGCAGAAGCTTTTTCATTGTAGGAGGAGAATCGCATTCATACCCCGTCTTCTTCAAATTTTTCGGAGCATCTTCAATACCAATTTTAGTGGGAAAACTCGATAGGTCATTGATCAAAAATGTCTTTCTAATGAACTGCTCATCGATCACAACTTTGCATCCTTTAAAGATTGCATCTACAGTCACTACTCCGTTATCGTCTCTTGTCATTTTGGCAGTCCACCAGAACACTCTTATAATTTTCTGATAAACAACGGTGTTCATGGTGATGGCGGACGCCAAACAACATTTTCTCAATCCATGAATCACTAACTTCAAATCTACATGGGCCACTGGAGAATCAGCCAGTACAATTGCCAGATTGTGCATGTATGCGAACTTTAAGGCTTCCATTTGATCTGCACTAAAACATACAAAGTAAGACAAGAAAGATATTTGAGCAAATAATATTTTAAATGATATAAATTCGAGCCCAAAATGAATTATTTTTGTCCAAAAATTAAGTTCAAAATCAACCAGGAGTTTACGGTCAATATGGGGTTTACGACTGTAAACTCATGACCGTAAGCCCTGGGCCGCAAACGGAGTTTAAGGCCGTAAGCTCCTGGCCGTAAGCTTGGGCCGTAAACTCCGACAAATCCTTTTTCGTCGATTTCAGGCTCAAAACTCGTCAAATCCAAGAATTAAACACATATCTATGGACGGAATCATAGTACCTTTGAAGTGATCGAAGCAATTTCGCAAAAAAAATAGAAAAAAATTTCGAAGAGAAAGAGAAAGAGGGAGTTTGCGGCCGGAATCCAAAAAATTAGAGGGTTTCCGGCTGTTAACTCTATATATATCCTTGACTCTTTTACCTGCTGACCACATAGTGTAAGGCACACTCCAATATTTTCAAAAAATTTCAAAAACAAAAGTTTTAAGTATTAAAATTAAAATTAAAATTAAAATTAAAATTAAAATTTAAAATAAAATTAAAATTAATTTCCGAACTTTAAAATTAACAATTAAATTTTGACAATTAAAAATAAATAAAAAAATAAAAATAAAATAAAACAAATAAAACAAAAAACCTAAAAAAAAATAACTAGTGAAAATAATTTTTGTGACATTAGGATTAAAGTTGTTGGACAACCCTA